CTCTCTCTCTCTCTCTCTCTCTCTCTCTCTCTCACACACACACACACACACACACACACATACACACACACGCACACGCGCGAACACACGCACACATGCCTGATCCCGTCATTCGGCAAGACTCTTAGGTGCATCTCATATGGCGATAACAATCGATAAAACATATTACACGATATGACACTGTGTTACCCTGTATTAAATATACACAGAATACTCTTGCGCTCGAGAAGATCCTATTCCGTCTTTCTTCGCGCGCGATTTTCCCCGCGCGCGCGTCAGTCGAGGTAAATCGTACGATCGCGCGTTTCTTGCGCGCTTTCTCTCTCACGCAAGACGTTTTGCGAAAAGCTCCCGAGACATACGGTGTACAGGCAAAACATCTCGATATCCTAAAACGTAATGTCCTTTGGGGTGTGAACAGTGGATCTGTATTGGTTTTATAACACGCGCTCGTTCGTCGAGACCCTCGTGCTCGTTTAGATGAATAGGTATACGCCGCAGGTATACTTCACAATCGTCTTTCTCTTTCTTCCTTCTTTCCTTCAAAATACCCTGTACAATTTGTATGAATCGAACAGGATCGCGCGGATCTGAATACTCACCGAGAAAACGAGCAGCTCCGCTAGTGAAAAAATAGAGAAATGCCGTCTCGCCTGATATATTAGCGGATGAAAAAATCTGAGTTATTCGAGGAAATGTGAGAATTATTAAGATGTTTGTTGGTCCACTAATGAGAAAACAATGGCTTTATTCGTGTGCGCGCTACGAATATTATTTCGCGGTCTCGTTGTGGATCCCGTTGTTGACTGGAAACCTCCTTAGAATATCGAGGTTATTTGCAGTTCAAGACGGCGAAATATTTCAACGAGAACCATTACACGTGAGGCTCTGAAGTTTCAGGCGGCATTATTCTATTCTCGATTATTCTCTCTCGTTTCGCGGTTCTGGAATATCTTTGATTAGTGAAATAACAGACGACAGACACACGTCAACATTGCTTATCGAGACTCCTCCTTCGAGAGTAAATGTTCATTTTTAAAATATTGTTTGCTTTTTTTCTCTATTAACCGACAATTTTTCCTAAACCTGTGCGGAAAGACGAGTTAATGCTCGCGTTGCACATGACGACGCGCACGGATAGGTTTACCCCTCCCCCCCCCCCC